AGAGGTCCTGAGGACGCAAAGAATCCCTGACTACTACTTTTCTGCATGACAAAACACAGAGTGTGTGAGGGAGCAGACAGCCTTAAAGGTGAACCAGTGTGTGACCTACGGGTCGCCAAAGCACGCCATCCTACCCAACAGTCCACCCTCACAATGATCAGAGCGTTACAGTTTGTTATGAACCTGGAGGGTAGGCTGCATCAACCGTATGAGACATCAGCAGAGTCACACACAGGGAAGAAAGGTGCAGCAACAAAAGGTGTTTGGACGGAGAGCGTAAAGAGGTCCTGAGGACGCCATGAAAGAATAGTGAGCACATAAAGCTGTCATCATGATGTTTATGTAAAGCTTTAACTTCCCTCGACCCGCCTGTTGGATCTCTTTTCATTCCTTCTCTCTGTTTGGTCTGACTGTTGATGTTTATTCGGTTGCTGTCTTTGTAACATCTGTTTTTAAAGGTGTGTATAATTAAGTTATTACTATTTTCATATTTTCATATTTCAAGATACTGGCTTTGTGGTGCCCAGTATCTTAGAGAGTCGTTTGACTTCCCTAAAGTGAAATTATCAAACATTTGATAAATCTGTGAAATATTTACAGAGAAGTAAGAAATGAAACACTGAGTATGGTTGACAGCACGACATGTACGCAGAAATATATGCTGCAAAATACAACATTTCCTTTTTTTTACCCCTTAAAAAAACAGTAAATTTTCATGACAGTAAGAAAAAAGACCCAGGTGTGCTGACTCACCTTGCAGATACATCTCCTCTCTTCCGTGAACATCTGATTGCACCTGCATCGTGCACAGCTGGGGTGGTAGTGCTTATCTCCAGCCTGAAAAACACAGGGCGCACAAAACAGAGCTGACATCACAGGAAAAATGAAGATCAATGACGCCTGCAGGAAGGGCAAGTGAAAGCGGCGCCGCTACTTCCAGGAAATAAGCGCCGGTGCTCTACCTGCTCTCAGACACTTTTATTTCCTTTAACTTGTGAACAAAAGGTCGTTTTCATCAGACTCTGTGTGCCGCTAACCACACAAACTACTCCTGATCAAACTGTGGAGCCGGACTGCTGAGGGGGAAAATGTTCAGAAACCCGTCTGCAGGTTTCAGTCAATAAGCTCTTAAAACGTGTTGGAAAGAAAAGTACGACTGTTGTATTAAATAGAAAACTCTGAAAGCCGCCTGTGTGCCTCAGTCACTCTGCCCTCAGAGAGAGTGATCCTCTTTGTGATAACACACACTGCAATCCAATAAAACCTTCTGACAGCTGGAGCACCTGCATTTCCCTCCACGCTGATGAGGCACTTTGTATGCAGAGTGCTCCGTTATAAAGCCGATGTGACTTTGACCGCAGCTGATAAATACCCAAATGAAGTTTCGCCTGCTGTACAACAGTCCTCAGTAACATTTCAGCTGCCAAGTGGCCACTCTCAGATATGGAGACACTGAACAATATTTTCATTTTACTGGAGCAAAAGTCCACATGACGACTACAGCATCGCAGACTCTCAGGGATAATGAAGCATGCAATTAAATACTCTCCCTCTTTCTCTCTGCTTTGAATAGCTGCAATAATTACACCTGCTTTAACAAGCAACTCACGTTACTCGCTCAACCTAGCTGCAGTCCCTCCAGTGTCCACAAGAGGCTGCCTCCAACAGTGAGTCAATCCCCACAAAGCCCTATGATAAATGTCCAACTTCAGGGCCCTAGCGGTTAGGTCGTGCCACCAAGCAGACGGCCCAGGTTCAAGTCTGACCTGTGGCTCTTTTCCGCACTTACTCCTCTCTTCTACTCTGACTATGTTCTTTCAAAATAAAAGCACAAAGCCGAAAAATATTTTTTCAAAAAAAAAAAGGGGCTCCTCCAACCAGCGTTTATATAAGTTAGTTATAAGAAGTTATAAGAAATTTAAATATAACTCCTCTTCATTTTCCTTCAGTGACTTTCACTGTCGGACATTTTCAAAGTAAAAAGGCATGTGATGCTTGGTAGAGCAACAAGATGCTGTCAGATGGGGCGACCTCAGGGAGGTTTCCTACCGTCAATGCAAGCTTTGCACCTATTGTGCCGCTGCTCCTTTGGGGGCCTAAGCAGTTGCCTGCCTTGCCTGGTGACAGCGCCTCTGTGTCTGCTAGGTGTCCCTCAGATAATTCAGTCCCTGACCTTTGAACTCTGGGCCATGTTTGTGCTGTTGGATGAACATGATGGTTAAAAAGCTTTAAGGATAACTTAGCGTTTGCAGGTTATTTTTTCTCTACAGCTCCGCCCTCTCGTCCAAATATGGTCATTCATGGCTCTAGAAAACCAAAACACAAAACTGCCAATCTTCACACACACAGTCGACAAACCGGATGGTGACGTCATGGTGGTTTGGTCCGTTATTTTTCCAGTCGGCATTCTTGGGTGGCTGATCAGACGGTCTGATCTGTTGGCAGCGGCTCAGGGTGAAACGCTGAAGCCATTCCCCATTGTCACAAAGATCTGCCTTAGTGCTGGATTACTGTAAGCCTGGGGGGCTCGCTGTGACATTTTCATACCACTAAATAACACATAACTCTGCGTCTGATTGGATCAACGTCTGCCGAACAGACAGGCGAGCGTGAGCGCGAGGACAGGAGAGGGCGGGGGTAATGTTTGACAGGAACTCAGCTCAGATCAAATTACAAACACGTTCAAATAAATAATGACCGCTTCTCAACATCCAATCAAATAAGCTCTTTGATGTCATGTTGGTGTTTATTTCCTGAGATGGGCGGACCTTAAAAATCAGCTGAGAATTAATCTTTTCATTATCTGCAGTCATGTCAGGAGTCTGTTTGGCTCCAGGATTCTGAGATTACACGAGAGATTATCGAACTACATTTCACGATTCCCTCCAACGCACTTCAAGTGTGTTCCCCGCTTCAGACGGCGTGCAAATAAATAAAAACAAGAAACTCACAAACATTCGATTTCTGTTGCCATGGGATCAAAAAAAGTTGTCAGTAAATTTAGTGCATCAAAAATAAGAGGCCAATCAGAGTGATGTGTGTGTGTGTGTGTGTCTGTGTGTGTGTGTCTGTGTGTGTCTGTGTGTGTGTGTGTGTGTGTGTGTGTCTGTGTCTGTGTGTGTGTGTGTGTGTGTCTGTGTGTGTCTGTGTGTGTGTGTGTGTGTGTGTGTGTGTGTCTGTGTCTGTGTCTGTGTGTGTGTGTGTGTGTGTCTGTGTGTGTGTGTGTGTGTGTCTGTGTGTGTGTCTGTGTGTGTGTGTGTGTGTGTGTGTGTGTGTGTGTGTGTGTGTGTGTGTGTGTGTGTGTGTGTCTGTGTGTGTGTATGTGTCTGTGTGTGTGTGTCTGTGTGTGTGTGTGTGTGTCTGTGTGTGTGTGTGTGTGTGTGTCTCACCTCCAGCACCTTCCCTGTGATGAACTGATGGCACGCCTCACACTGAACTCCAAAGTGGATCTGGTAGTCCTTCTCACAGTAGGGGGCGCCGTCCCTGAGCAGGGAGGAGATGGTTGAACACCAGAGCTTTCACAGTGAAGCATCATATTGTGGTCGTTATGGTAACTATGAGCTCCTTACTTGCTGATGTACTCCCCGGTCAGCACTTTGCTGCAGGCCTTACACTTAAAGCAGCCGAGGTGCCACTGTCGGTCCAACGCTAACAGAGCCTGCCCGTTCTTAATGTCTCGACCACATCCTGCACAATCTGCACAGAGCAAAGAGGCATGCGTTAAAACCACAAAGAGAACACCTGCAGACTGAGATAAAGCTGCTTTTAGGGTTAGCATGTAAAAACTCAGCCTGAACTGGATCACAGCGTCATGAAGGTCTACATTATATAGACATCCTGTCAGTTCCGGTCCCAGACACTAGGGGGTGATAGAGGGTAACTATGCTCTGATAGCTGCCTCTTTCCATCATCCACGCCTCTCTTACCGCAGCTTTAAAAAGCTCCTTCCACATCAAAGTGGCGTCCGAGGCTCTTAAAGTGTGAGAGGTCGATTTCTAAAAGAACAATCATCTTGTCATCTCTTCTTTAATGAATGGAGGATGAAAGTAACACAGAGCCCTCCGCAACCACGGGGGACGATAACTACGTAAGGCATATCGAGGCAGCCAGGATGACGTGAGGAGTATCAGCATGCCTTATTTATGGGTGACCTTGTCTAAAAGCTCTTCAAATGCCAACAGAGAGACCATGTGGGGGGGAATGGGGGGGCAGGAAGAGGAGGAGAGGGGAGAGAAGGAGGGAGGATGAGAGGAGTTGGTGAAGGAGAGGTTTGCGGGCTGCACACACCCAGCTCCACAGGAAAGAAATGTATGGCCATGCATTATTCAGAGCAAGTCTTCTCGGCGTTATTCATAACGGAAGACAGCCGGTCGATCTCTGCTGCATTTAGAGAAGATCGAGGCGGAGGAACTCCCTGAATGATACCTCGGCTTCACTCAGTGATTTCAAGCAGAACAAAGCTGCAGGAAAACTACTCATAAAGTCTATTCTGCTTCACTGTACTGATACCATTTTCATATTTTACACATCAAGTTGTTTGTCAGGAGGAGCTGGAAGAGAAGAATGATACTGCTACAGCAAGCTAATTAGCTTAGCTTAGCATCAACTACTGTAAGGGGGGGAGCAGTTGTCCCGGCTCAGATTAAAGTAACAAAGGTCATGATCCCTGAGAATCACCCTAACCTTTCTCCCTCCCCCGGCGCCCCCTGACATCATGAGAAAGGGATGGTCTTCCTGTGCCTTTAACATGTGAGGGTGTGTGTTATAGATGATACTCACTGCTGGAGCCCAGGATGTCCTTTGGTCCCGGAGACATGGGCTCCACACAGTACTGACACAGACAGTCCTTCCCGTTAAAGGTCACCCTGTCCCCAGCGGGGAACGGTCGTCTGGAAGCAAAAGCGACAACAACAATCAGTCAACAGGACAGGAGCAGTGGCTGCTGGGTAAGTGTTTATGAGCTGGGCCTGATGATGTGGATGTGTGTCAACACTGTGAGCCTGAGGACGACGTTCAGTCTGATGATTCAAACGTGACAGACGGCAGCGTACTGTACGCTGTCTCCAGGAATTACTGCAGCTGTGACTTTGTCTATCAGCAGAATGATATGATATGAAACAATAAGACATGATGTATAAGATAGGATATGATGTAATGTGATAGGGTGAGGTACAGTACATAACTTTATGATGTATTTTTATTGTTCTTGTGGGAAACATTAAGTTTCCTCCTAAGCATCAATAAAGCACTTATTTATCACTTCTTGCAGGATGTTACACCTGTTAAATGTTCCACAGATTGAGCATCTACACTAAGTGTGACGAGAGAAGAACAAAGTTTCAGGAGTTGACTCTGCAGTGTCGGAGTTCTTGGTCTAATTTTACAGATTTGATGGAAACCAGAAATTTGTTTTTGGCACAGATTCAATCAGGGGGACGGAGCTCGGTCTGTGTCCTCTTTACATTTCATTATTATTGACCCAGTTCACTTTTCAGGCCTCCTTTACTGTTTTCTTGGTTTTAGTCCAGCATGTATCTCTTTAAATCACTAGAGTTAAGTCTCTTTGGGTCGAGCTGTGTTTTATCAACATGTATGAGTGTATCGTATTAATGAGTGTGTGTGTGTGTGTGTGTGTGTGTGTGTGTGTCTTACTTGCAGATGGTACAGACGAAGCAGGCGGGGTGGTACGTCTTGCCTAACGCAGTGACCACCTCGCCCTCCACAAAGTCCCCGCAGCCATTGCAGCGGGTGCCGTGCATGCGTTGGTAGTCCAGCGTGCACAGATAATCGCCATTCTTCATGAAGAAGCCCCCCTGAGCGAGGTCACAGCCGCACACTGTAAGACACACACACACACACACACACACACACACACACACACACACACACACACACACACACACACACACACACACACACACACACACACACACACACACACACACACACACACACACACTGATGAGTCAGGTCATTCAGCGCTCTGCCTGTTTAACACATAAAGCATCCACCCTTTAAGCAACCCAGCTCCTCCACGCATCAATGGTTAATCCTGAGACGTTCGCTGAATGCGTGGACGGCTGCTGTGGATGAATCAGCAAGAAATACAACTTCACATCTCTGTGCTTTACAATGTGAAAGACATAGTGAGATCCTTTCATCAGCAGCATTCACGGTATAAAAAGCAAACCCTGAACCCTCTCTGTTTGGGATCATGTCAATTAATCTGCATCACTTCTGCAAGGTCTTTCTTTGTCAGCTTGAAGGTAGACCGATCAGTGTTTTAATTGTGCAGCTCAGGAAGTGGCCTTGATCTGTTTCTGAAGATAACTGGCTCCAAATACCGAACACAACTCTGTCAGTCTCCATTAGGCTTCCTTCCATTCATGTATGACCTCGTCAACAACACACACATAGAAGACCAGAACAGAAAGAATTGTAGCAACAGAACAAAGGAGAGATTGGGATATTTTAATGTTGCTGTGAGCTTATCTTCTGATCACATCAACTCATGATTATATTTAAAGGAGCAGTATGTCGCTCTGACCCCTAGTGTTTAAAATGGGTACTGCAGTCTAAATTCTAAACATTGTAGAGAGCTGTCTCCCCCCCCTCCTCTCTAGAGTCGATGCTCATGCAGGTTCCATGTGGTGGACACTGAAGCTTCAGTGTTTATCCAGCTCTGCATCGGTCTGTAAACCTTTCTGTGTTCTAACCTCTCTCCATTTTTCAAAAGCATCTCCAATATTGATCCTAGTTTGAGCATGTTTCTGCTCGTGGAGCTTATTAGAAACATGCAGAGGCTTTTTAGGTCGGGTACAATCACTTCTATCTGAACCACTTCTCTTGCCCGCTTCCATCACTGCAACACCTGTTGGTTTGACCTGATAACTGCTCTCATATCTGGCAAACCGAGGGGCGTCCAAAACGGCCGTGTGGGGGGTGCCTTAAAAGCGCCTACCTTCTCTGGTCCAAACAAATCCAGAGCATTCAGGACCAGAATCTAAAGTTAGAAGGAGGACATACTGGCTGCTGCATTGTTGTCAGAGAAGCCAGCACTTCAACATAGCATGTTTCCTTAATGTCTGATCATATAGTAAGGTACCTTTATCATTTCAGTCACTACACATCTCACTGATTGGTCCTTTAAAGAAATATAGCAAAGAGATATTTCACTTTGACATATTGCAGGCTGGTTAAGGATCTGTGGCTCTTCACTTTGAGGCTTGTCCTGTATGAAACACAAGAGCTTTGACAATGTGTCATACACTGCAGAGTGTCAATAGTAGAGAGAGTATTAGCCACAGGAGATGTCGGTCAGCTCGGCCCGTTTAAGGAGAGGCCGGCGGGAGTGAAGCTAGGCTAAATGTTCCTCCACCTGCAGCAAACTGATCGGCTGTTTGGGTCTGCAGGCCTCGAAAGAGACAACAAATAGAGAAATAATTATATGACAGGCCGTCCACTGTGGATACAAGAGGAACTATCCCTTTAAGCAGTAAAGATCACATGAGCCACGTCGGCGCCTGGGAATATAACAGCCTTTAGGAAAAGCCACAGCTCAGACAGACAATATGACATCCAATATAATGTGTGAGGAGGCTGCACCTAATCATTCTTACGCAATGAGCCAGGCTAAATCCTGAGGATGAATGGGAGTGAGAGCGGGACGGACTCAGGTTTAATTGCATTAAGGCTCAGGGGTGATGAGATTAGCTTGTAAACTAACGGAGCGAGAGAAGAGTAGCCTGTGAGGTCCAATGACGGCCGTCACTTTTTTTTTTTTAAGACGCGTGCATTTAAAGAAACCGCATTTCTGGAAAGTTATTGAGCAAACACACGAGTATGAAATCAGAGTGAATGCATATTTGACTTTTTTTATTTCACACCCCAGAGCTGTTGTTTTGGATTCACTTGCCAAGTGACACTTTAACCTTTCAGTGCTGATAAGCGCCGTGAACCTGGCGTGAAAACAACAGATGATTAATTCTAGTCCTCCTCCTGGTTGGAGACTGACAACAGCACATTTAAAATTAGTGAGTCCTGGAACTCTTCGGGCCGTTTAATCTGTCTGCGTGTCTGCTTTGGCGACGGCTATCTCGTTTGCACACACAGAAGGCATTTATATCCACTTGTAAAGGACAGAATTAGGTGTTAATCTCAGTGTTTGTGTGTGTGTTATTCTGGGCCTTTGGTGAACTAAGCTAACCTTATAACAGTACTCCAGTCACAGATTAACCACAAGGCCTTCAGCTGGTCCAAAAACACGAGGGGACTGATTGGGCGGCTGCATCACGATTTAGCAGGAAATGCATCAGTGATGTAGTAAGAGCAGAGGGATTGTAAGTGCTGCAACTTTTCATAACAGTCTGGATGGTTCTTTAATTAACGTGCAGGCCTGAAAGGTGAAGAGGAGTCGTGACATCATATTTCTATCTTGTTGTGGACTCTACCTTTAAGACATACTGTGTTGCTAAGTTACTTGGGGAGTGATGTCACTAGACCTTGTTTTTAGCCTTGAAGATAGTTTTAGCGGCGCTTCTGCCTGTAAGCTCCTACTTTCTTTATGGCTCTAAGTTTATCAGGGATGTGAGGGTTTGTGTGTGGGTCCCTTATGTCTGATAAAATAGTAGCCGTACGTCCGGGCTTTATAAGGTTGATGTTTAGTTTTTAATAAACGACGAGTGTTGTGGAAACCCCACACACGTGTGGTTGTGCACTTTGGCTAACTTACTGTCTCCAAAACACTGTTAACCAAGAGGCACTGACCCGAACCGTTACATCTGATACAAGACTCTAAAACGTTGGTGCTATTCGAGTTCAAATCAAACGATACTGAAACCACTGCAACAACAAAAGAAGTCCAAGGCACCAAATATTTGTTAATTTCTTGATTGATTTTCACGGTCACATATTATTTAAAAGCCACTTCCCCATGTTCCTCTA